CCCCTCCACTCCCTGTGAGGAGCTGCAGCCACCATCAGGCCTCCTCTCAGCTCCTCTGCTCTGCGCTGAGCAAACCCAGGGCTCTTAGCTGCTCCTCACACACCTTGCCCTCCAGACTCTTACCCACCTTCATAGCCTCCCTGTGGACACTCATAATTTTATGTTCTTTCTGTGCTGCCATGCCCCACATCACACCTGGTGCTTGAGGTAAGGCACATAGTGCAGAGCAGAGCAGGATGGTGGCAATGCCATGCTGACAGATTTCTCTCTTCTCTTGTAAAGAAGTAACCTGGAAGTGAAGATGTGCCTATTGCTGTGTAGGCTTCCCATCATTAAACAAAGTATGATGTATGTGAGTGATAGAACACACTGATGCAGCACTGGGTCTGTTACAAACCTTTGAAACAAAAGTGTTCTTGAATAATTTGCTAACACAGGCCTTTGACATCTTGAAGCCTTTCAGTGCTTTTGAAGCAAGACTTCAAAGCTACATGTCAGACTTCCACACATGTAATGTCAGCGTTGACATGGTGCTGTGAGCTGCATGAGCTGGCATCCAGATGCTGCTCCAGCTTTTATCTTGCTCTAGCAAAGAAACCAGTCGAGCAGCAGAACCAGAAATGCTCCATCATGGAACGATTGGAGAGGTAATACAGTGCTTGTTCTAAGAGAATGGGGGTCACCTTCACTTCTGTGCAACAGCTGTAGTGTTGCTGCTCCTGATAAGCACTAGAGGATACTGGGGTGAAACATCCCCTGTGTTGTCCTGTCTGTAGCATGCAGTGCTTTCAAGCTTGAATCCAGGCAGTGACTGGTGCTTCATACAGACCTAGAACAACTCCGGCAATATTATTCCTTTTTGTATGCACTTGGTGCTTGTACTGACACAGAGTCCTTTAGCAACAACCTCACAGTGGCCCTACTCCATCTTCTGCTTGCCGTGTACAATATGTGGGATGGAGTTAAAGTTGATGAAAACTTGTGAATCTGTAAGGAGTCGCAAGATGTCTGAAAATGTTTCTTTCTGTTTTTTAAGTTCTTGCATCTGAGTAAAGAGGGAGAAAAATCAGTGCTGTTGCTTTCTGCCTTCTGGATTATCATCTAATTGCTTTCGGAAATGGAATCAATACTCCATTTAAAGTTACTATTTCTTTTTCTTGCCCTTATTATCTTTATTGGAAGGCTGTTTGTCAACTCTTTTCCTCCAGCAGCTAGAGACAAATGTCAGTTTCCATCCTAAATTAATTTATGGTCCATTTAGATCAATCCATACCAATCTTACTTCTTAACTAGAATAGGCTTCTTCGTACCCACTTTGATGTATTGTTAGAGGCTGATCTCCACCAGGTTGTTTTCCTGGCCTCAAGCAGTATTTCCTTTGCATTATCATAAAACTGAATTTTTGAAATTTAATAGCAAGAGAGGACGGCTCTTCTCCGCATTTATCTTTGAAGTAATCTTTCTTGTGCAATCTGGTCATCTGTGCAGCATGTCAGAACATCTCATGTTCAATGCCATTTATGCCTTGTTTTATATATCCTAAAGCTAAAATTATCTTCTTCATGTTCAGCACTTACGTTATCTCATATCATATAATAAAGCAGAGTCCTGTTATCCTGTTCCTCACTAACGAGCCACAAGCTTTTAGGAGAAATTCCTGCTTTAATGTACTTCCATTACTTTGTCCTATTACTCCATTCCATTTTTGTTGCAGCAGTTCCAAAGGTAATTCAGTTCTTTGTAGGCTATTTCTGATCGTTCTCCTCTGCTACCTCTGAGTCATGAACGAACTTCATTTCCAGCAGTGACCTGTACACAAATATAAGTGTGGCAGTTGTCTAAAATGTGGTTCTTGATAAACTGGAGCAGGGATTGCCAGTCAGGTCAGTAATCTCCATCTTGTAACTGCTGTTATTTCCCCGTTAGGCTTCTCTTAAGTGTACACATTTCTCCATCTCCCTCCTTTTCTTTCATTTTTCCCTGTTTTTCTTCAGTTCTATTGCACTGTGATTGGCCTGTGCTTTGGAATCACGTTTGTCAGTCATGCTGTTTTCTTAGAACAGTTGATTTCCATACCAGAGAAAGATGCTCAGTTTCCACATACCCTCTTTTTCATAATGCCCTTCTATGATATCCGTGGTATTTATTATCCTTTCTAGGTCTGTCTCATGGACCTAATGGATTTTTGGTGGTTTCTGTTTTTTGATAGTTAAATACTGCTTTCGTGTACCAGTTCTTGGAATGCTGTGGAATATTATTGTCTGGATATGTGAGCACACACAATCACCTCCAACTTACTCCCTTTTGGATAGGATTACCAATACAGTTCTTAAACCTTCATCTTCACTGGCTCAACCTGCTGCAATACAATTCTTTGTGACAAAAGGACAGCACGAATGAATTTGCAGGAATACAAGTGCTTGTTTACATATTGAGGAGTTGCAGAATTTGGCTTTGTCAGGAACTCAGAAGCAGTGCTGGGAGGAGAGAAAGAAATGTGAGAATGTCAGTTGGCTGCCATAGCGTGCAGAGATCTTAGGGCCATTGTGAACACAGCATTGAGCACCTCAGTCAAGGGAGGAATCTTGGATATTTGTAGTGAAGACTGATTTGATGAGGAAGTTGGCTTGCATGAAGTTCTATGGGAAGCAGGGTCTGTTTGACACTGGATGAATTTGGTAGCAGAGGAAGGCAGGTGGGGTAGGGGTTCTTATACGTGTGCATTTTCATCTCCCAAAATGATGCCTGTGCTTGTAGTCAAGGAAAGAAGGAAGTATCTTTTGAAGTTCTAGTTTGTTTTAACAACCTGTACATGACTGCCAGTATAAAAATGAGAGAAAATACTATTAGCTATGGCAAAAGTATGCCCAATGTGATGAATACTGATGGGGGTTCTAAGTAATGCATTTGAAATGCATCACAAACAAAACCAGAACTCAGTAAACCAGATAGCTGAGCATTCAAATCAAATGTGTGGAAGCCTTAAAATAATTTTTGCAAGCAGTTTATTGCATGGATATGCAAAGATGAGCATGTCTTCTACCTGTTCATCTTTGCAAATGAAGATGCAGTAGCTTGATTTTACAGCTGGAAGGACAAAAGGCCTTTTGGAAATGCCCTACTTGCGTGCAGAGGTGCAGAGAAAGGCGTGCTGTTCACCACTGTGCATCTTGCTGTTGTGGCCTACCTAAGGCATTCTGTGCTCACCCAGCAGAAGAGGAAATGGCCTCATCTCTTCCCTGTACTGAGCTCGCACCTGATACCTCTCCCTCTGCTCAAAGAACACCTGTGGATTCACCTGCTGTCTTCAATTGCCTTCTGTATGATTTCTAGAGCCTGGGAGGGAGTGGGTCTGTCCCAAGATCTTAGTGAGCACGACAACAAACCAGTGAGAATGTGCTGGTGTAGGAGAAATACTGCTGTGTGCAGCTTTTTGGAAGTCCTCTGTTCCAAATGTTGCAAGCAGCGCGTGGTTTTCCTGACTGAGTTTGCTGCAGCATCAGTGAGCAGTGTTTGAATTGGGTGTAAGAGGGGCTGGGCTGTTTTACCTCAGAGGGGGCCAGCGCTGGGCCCCGCTGGGTGGTGGCTGCCAGCCAACACAAGGCTGGTCTTGGGGCTGCAGTGCACCTGTTATGAAAGGTTTGGGAACTTGGGGTGCTTCAGCCAGGCGGCCCTGAAAGGTGGTGTTTCAGTGCGTTCATAGATATGTGGGGCTCCTGGCCTGCATGGTACTGCTTTTTCTTTACCCTGGGTGTTGCTTATGGATAATTAAAGTGTACAGGGATGGGAGAGTATGGTTTGCCTTTGCTGCTTTTATCTGAGATCTTGGGCTGCTCTGCAAACATCAAATGAGTCTCTGAACTCAGAGTGGGTTAGAACTGTGCTGTCATTACCATGAGAGTAATGAGGGTCAGAAAGTTAGGAGATGTAGCAAAATTGTTGAAAGACAGAGTTGTGCTGCTGCTGTTACTCTTAAGTATCATGAAAGCTGTGTAATTTTACCTCATTATGGAAATGTTCGATCAAGGAATCGGGGACATGAACTGCAGAACACATCCCTTTGTGTAACAGCTTTTGAATGAGGCTAAGTCTGTGGGAGGAGGTGGCATACGTGTACTTAAAGCCCAGCTCTGGAAGTAACCACAGGACTGCCAGACATACTCTGGCAATACAAGGTGAAACAAAGAGAGCTTCTGTCATCTAGCCCCCAAGAAGTGTCACTCTGAACATCAAACACATAGTGATTTGATCATCCAAGTGATGAAAGATCTGACCTGCTGTTAACTACTGATGTTTCCAAGGCTTAGCACTAGCTGCACCATGCTGAGTCAACAGTTCTTCACATCGAAGGACCCCTGGTGAATGGCAGCAGTATAATGCTATCAGGTTTTCACATCTTTTAAACCTAGCATGCTTTGCTCAGAAGTTCAGTGAGCATTATTTTCTCTTTGAAATTCTTCAGCTGCATGGCTGATGTAGCGTTCACTAAGTTCCCAGGAAAGCTGTGGGGTTTGAAATATTATCTGTCTGCACTTGGTTTTAATTAAAAATGATAATTCCTTTTTTTTTTTTTTTTTCTTTTTCTAACCCAGTTTTTATTTTTCTCTTATGGTGCACTATACATCTAGTCCATTAAAATATTGCTGAAAAATACGTGGCTTGTTTGACTTATGAGGCTAAGTTAAATAATTCAAGGACAGATCTGTACTGAGTCTCATTATACATCTCAGAATTATTTAAATATTCATTATCACAAGTCTCAGTTAGAGAGCCAAGTCACATTACTTATTCCTCTGCTGTGTTGCTATACGCTCAGCTTTTACAAGTAATTATTTAGAATGCTGCTGATTTGGGTAAATCCATGTGCTAAAACCTTTCATACTTCATCAGGAAAGTCAAAGAACTCCACAAAATCCCCTGCCTCTATTTCTTATTCAGCTTATGATAATACAGTCTTCTTTAAGCAATGATTTGCTAACTGTGTTTTATATATATTTCAGTCCTATAAAATCATCAATTTTGCTCCAAGTCTACTGCAAATCATAGTATCAGATCAAGTTGAGTTTCCAGTGCGTCAAGCAGGTAAGATGAAATCCTTGTTTCATTTTCCTTCAGTAAAAATTTGGTCTGTTAGTAATTTCAGCAGAATATTGAGCTGCTGGAATGTAATCAAGTCCATGTTTGCTCTGAACATGGAAATGGAAAGAGTAGAAACTTCTCTATCTGTGCTGCTTTTTTTCTTACATCCCTGTGTTTATAGTGATCCCTACTGGATTACTGCAAAAGTGATATAAAAACAGAATGATTTCTGCTTGTTCTGAAGATATTCAAGCAAAAAAAATATATATATATATAAAAATAAAAATAAAAATAAAAAGTGGATCTCATTTGAGTAATTTTCCTCTATTAGAGTCCTTTTTCCTGAAAAAGTGAAATTGACTGAAAGATGAGAACATAGTTTGCAATCAAGGGTAGCCTCGTAGGCTTATTCAATAAGTATGGTGTTTGCTCACGAAAGTGAAGGAAGGTCACATTATGGTAAGTTACACATCTGTAGTCTGAGCATGTCTAGAAACATTGCCTCACTGTATGTGTGATCAGGTACAGCAGTGCAGCTGACTGCAGGTGTACATTTGTGTAAGATCAGATTCCCAGTGCTCACAGTCTGCTTTGATTAACGTTACGCAGTATTTTTTACAGATTAACAAAACATTCAACTTTTTCAAGAAATTGATGAGTCCTGTTTCGTTCTCAGCTCTCTTTCTATCCTATGGAGCAGCATTTCCCATTGAACCACTGTTGGCTGTATTTTTTTTCCCTATACAGATCCTATTAATCCCCTGAGTGCGTTGAGGCATGCTGACATGTGCTGTTTGTCATGCTGGCGTGTATATTTTCAAAGACAATCCAACTTTGAATGGCATTTTTAAACCATCCTGTGGTAAAGTCTGTTGGTTAATCTGGACTCCATAAGGTCATTTTCATAAATTAATCCTTCATTTGGGAAAAAATACCATTTTTTAACCTTTGTTGGTTTTTTTTGTTTGTTTGTTTTGTTATTTAGAGAATGGAGGTATAAAATAGAAAAACACATTTAAATTAAATCTGTATATCACCAGATTTCCCTAAGTTTTTGTAAACAGCCAAGAATCTGTGTAACATTAAGACCTACGGACAAAGTCAATTCAAGTCTTTGATCTTTCTGGATCTGGTTTTTTTTTTGTTTTTCTTTCTTTTTTCTTTTTTTTTTTTCTGAATATTCTGGCATTTCATAGTCAAAGAACGTTTTATCCTCTTCTTCCTATATAATGTTTTACAAACTGCATGTTTTCATAGTTGGTAATTTGTCATGACAAAAAAAGTTGGGCACAAGAATGTCTTTCTTGTACTTTAAAACCCTAGTCAGTAATCAGCCAAAGTCTTAAAGGGATAAGAGTTTATTAAGAATGTTACTTTAATGTCTTACAGTGTATTTTGTACGTTCTCTAAAGAATGCCTACAGGCATTTCAATACTGAGGCATAAATGCTGCTTATTTTCAATAGAAGATTAACTTTATTTTGCATGGTTTTTCACATGAGACAGACAGAACAATTCTGAGGGATTATGGGAAATCCTAGCAGTGAGATAAAGCTTAGGGAATTCACAACAAACATTTCTATCTGAATAGAAGGTAGGCCATGTGCCAGTTTCATACTGGGCATTTCCCCAAGCAGAGTGTCCTCTCTGTGTGTACAATGATTTGTTTACATGAGCTTTCCAAAGCTTCCCTTACAGAGCTTGATGAGTTATTTCAGATGTGAGTAAAAATGTTCTCAGCTGTTCTTAGTTCTTGCAATTGTTACAAACCCTTGCAGAGGTTTTCAGTTGTCACTTCTGTTCTTTGTTCTGCTTTTCAACTCTACTACACATTGAGCACAGCAATGTAGAGATGCTTTAGAATTAAATCTAAACTATAATTTCCACATCTCTTACACGTAGCTGCCATCTACCTGAAGAACATGGTGACGCAGTACTGGCCAGACCGTGAACCACCTCCTGGAGAAGCAGTATTTCCTTTCAACATTCATGAGAACGATCGGCAGCAGATTCGTGATAACATTGTAGAAGGAATAATTCGCTCTCCTGACTTAGTGAGGTATTCTTCTGTTTTGTAGGGGGTGTTTTTCTTGCTCAGGTTTTCAGACCTACCAGTCTAGATGTGAAAATCTCAATCTCTTGGTCAGTGTTTCTGTCAGTGCTTCTTTTGAAAATATAGTAATAATGATCAATTTTAGTGTATTCATGTGCATTTGTTTTTTTTTTTAGAAATGTGTTAACTTGGCTAAGAGCACTGTGATTTAATCCCTTATGGTGTAGTTGGAAGTGTCTTGTAATGGCAGCTGATTCAGGGCAGACAGTGATACAGAATTACCCATCCAAAAATTGCAGCTCAAAATCCATTTGTTTTTCTAGTAACTCTTACCTCAGTTACTTTCCCATTTTTTTTAATGCAATCCTAGCATTTAAATGTATATTGACATTCTTGATTGTAAGATGTTAAAAGAATAAGAAAATGCTGTTCTGTCTTTACTGGAAGAATAGTTAAGATTCACAGATTTGCTGCAATATGTGATTGTTCATGATGTTAATTAGAGTGAGGCTGATGAGAAAGGCTGTGATGTGCATCTTTGAAAAACAGATGAACATCTTCCTGGCTTTTCCTCTTCCTCTCCATTAACTCTGTTCCCAAAGATATATTCTTTGTCAGTAGTTATATCAGGAAGAGGAGTGATGGACTATAGATTAAAATCAGGATTAGGGAAAACACTTCAATTAAGAAACATGATGAAATAGAGGAATGTGTTAGGATGCTGTGGTATTGCTGTCACTGGAGATCTTTATGAGTACATTAGACAAACATCTGACAGGAGTTGTGTAGGGTATAAATGGTCCTGCACTAAGACCTTGTTTGCAGTTCAGCTTTCTGAAGCCTCTGACTTTAATGTTTAGAACCCCCACCAAAAGAACCCCTTGTCAAGGATGTCTACAGCGTAAGGAATCTTGTGTTGTTTCTGTAATAGTGTAGTAAGGGCATGTTGCTTACTGTGTCATCTCATCGTAATTACTAAGGCTGAGTTTATACTAAAGAACACGGAATAATGGAAATATGAGAAGTTTTTTGCAAACTAGTTCAGGCATCTTTTCATAATGCGGGATTCCAAATATTCTGACATAACAATGACCATCTATACCCAAAAGAACAGTTGAAACTGACCCCTAGAAAATTCACCTGGAATAGGGTGTTTCTAAATACTAAGAACTTCAGATTTGTCAGATAATAGAAATGGCAAAGAAACATTGGGACTAGTCTGATGTTGTGATATCAGTATTTTTCATTGTTTGCTCATGAGAGCAAGGGAGGAGAACAAATCAAATCAACAACAGGGACAAACTCCAAGGGCTTGAGGAGGAAGGCAAGTTTGTACAAAGCTCAAAATTTGAGAGGCTTGAGAGCTTCTGATTGAATTACTTGGTGTTTTTGGCTCCATATCTATTAGACTGCAAGGAAAGATAAATATAAAAGAAACTATTTACTACAGACTTTTATTCCTTAGCAGAGCCAAGAGCATGTACAGCTTTTTATGTATTGCCTCTAAAACTCTGTAGTCATAGTACCTCACTTCAGGCAGTTAACTGTTCTGTCTTGCCACAGAGTGGCTTCAAAGAGTTTATGGAGGGAGAGGAGCAATACAACATTTTACCTCACTCACTCTGCCATATGCTTCAGAAGTCATGAAGTGCTGTTCTGGAAGATCCCAGGAAAATCATAATTTGATGAGGAACCTCTGGCTTGGTTTATAACGCAGATCAGTTTTGTTTAATTAAAAACATACAAATTCGTGTTCTCATGGCTGATTTCAACCTTGTAAGTATGTAGAAGGACAACCATTCATTTTCAAAATACAAGGCTGGCTAATTTTGTGCAATTTATTGTTTTCAGATATTTCCTGGTGATGGTGGAGAGTGAACAGAGAAAAGTGGTTGAGCTATTCTGAAATTAGTTCCTCAAATTTAATCCTCTGGGACTTTTTTTTTTTTGTTTTGTTTTTTTCCCATCTCCCATAACTTTCAGGGTTATCAAAACATGTATAACGCTTTAATGCTTACGGTGCAATATTTACGTTGTAGCCACTAAGCCAAGATTTGAGATCTGTGTTTTAATATTAAACACCGTGCTTTGATTACTTATCTGCTACTGTGTTTCTCTTTCCCTCCTGCCACAGAGCCCAGCTGACAATGTGCCTGCGTGCTATCATTAAGCATGACTTTCCTGGCCATTGGACAGCGGTCGTTGACAAGATAGGCTACTACTTGCAGTCTCAAAACAGTGGCAGCTGGCTTGGGAGCCTTCTGTGCCTGTATCAGCTGGTGAAGACTTATGAGTAAGTTGATGTCCATCAGTAGACAAGGACGCAGTACTTTGGTTTCTCATCTGATTACCAAGAATGACATTCTTAAAAGCACTGGCAGCTTTACATGGAATTCTGATAGAGAATGAGATTTAATAATTGTCATATGCGTTCTTTCCTGCAATTAAATGAAAGCTTCATCATCTTTATATCATCAGTGTGTGTAAGCAGAGATTTCAGCAGTGAATAACATGTATGACTTTAGTGTTGGCTTTTTTTTTCTTGAGGCTTTGTCATTTTGATCTGATTTACCCTAGCTTATAACTTCTTTTGTTTGAAGATTCCCTAAATGCAGGAAATACAAATAGAAATAACTTTCTACTTTTGTGTTATAATACAGTACTGCCTGTCACGTAGTCCTATTGCATGTTGTTAACTGTACCATCCTTCTGATAGTCTAAATCTGGAAAGCATAAATTAGCAGCAGTGCAGTGAGCTCTCTCATTTAGGAAAAAAAAATATCTGGTGCTTGGAACATATGTGTAAATCACACAGAAGAAATGTAAGTGCAGAATGGTGATTCACTACTATTTGTTCAGCCACCTAGCTTGGGTTTGCATTGATATGAATGGCAGAGAAAGCCAAGTCCCTGTTGCTGTGAGCTTCTAGCTCAGTAGCAAAGAGCATTTGTATAAGATAACATTTGTGGGGTTTTTTTATTTCTCTATTTAGAGATTTCTGTGTGTTAGAGATTTAGCATGATTTATTTGAATTATCAGACGGGGACTGGAGGAGGGAGAGTCAATCAGTGAATGCTGGATTTTAGTTGCTTTAAGGTGCAGTAATTAAATTATTGGTGAATAGAAGTATGAGAGTCTCCAGTGTGTAAATCCTTGACCAACATTTTTGTTTCCTTTGCAGATACAAGAAAGCAGAGGAGCGAGATCCTCTGATAGCAGCAATGCAGATATTTTTGCCTCGTATTCAGCAGCAAATGATCCAGCTTCTGCCTGATAATTCCCATTACTCTGTGCTTCTTCAGAAACAAATTTTAAAAATCTTCTATGCTCTTGTTCAGGTTGGTGTCTGTGTACAGAAAAAACAGAACTTCTACACTGCTGAGTACAACATTCCCCTTCAGTGCACTCATGGGTGTCTTTGAGTAAAAGTACCGATTTGGATGGGAAAAGTAATGTTCAATAAATACCTTTTATAAAGATGTGATTTTTTTTATAGATTTGTCCACTTAAAAACTGATCACATAATCCCCTGTGTTACAGTTTTAATGAATCTCAGTATTTCTGCACATCCTGTCTGTTAGCTTGCTGGAGAAGTGTTTCTATATTTATAAAGTTGAACATAATCTGATATAAACATTGAGTATCTAGAATCTGCTGCTTAGCCTCTGCAAATGGCAGTAGTACATATTGCATTATAATTGCCAACAGTGCACTTCATTAGGTGGTGTTTCTCTCATTATTTTCTAAAGATTTGGGAGAAATTATTTGTTGAGGCACATGCATTTTCAGAGGTGTGTTTGGCTGTTACAAGGGTGAGTTTGATGAAGAAGTGCTTCTAAAGAATGAGAAAGAGAACAAGATCCTACATCAGGTGCAGCCTGAGAGGCCTTGCTGAAGGTTAAAAAAAAAGCTGAAATGATTTATTGTTAGATGGAAGGGTTTTAAAAAAGTTCCAAAGGTCCTATTTCATTTTGAAAACCCTTTCCTGAATATTGTCACTACTTTGGACTTTGTAGAGAAGTAAAATTTATTAGATAGTAGCTAGGTAGTAATGAGAAGTACATTTCTCTTAATAAAATGCTTTTAGTTTCCCTAAGAGGAAGAGGCAAAAAGAATTAGCAAGTACTCAACGCAAGGAACTTTTCTCAAATAGAATCTAGTCAGAAGTTACTCTGCAAATTGTACCAGGAATGATAGAGTTGGAGTAGTATTGAAATCTAAACTAATTTAAGTTCGCTTAGAACCTCGTCCTCCTAGAAATGTAGCTACTGTTGAAATTGCTCCTACTCACTTCAGAGAAAAAAAATCAGTGTTTCATGAAGGTGTTTATTTTTATTTTATTTCAGTATGCATTGCCACTCCAGTTGGTGAATAACCAGACTATGACTCAGTGGATGGAGATCTTCCGTACCATCATTGACAGGAATGTACCTCCTGTAAGGTTTAGTATTGTCAAAACCTCTTACACTTGTGTGTTGTCAATTGAGGAACAGTCACTGTAAAAGTTTTGTAAGTGTGGTCATTTTGTCAGTTTGTTTTGTTTTTTAAGATGTCATTTGTTTGAGGTTCTTATCTTTAAAATAAGTGTTCTACAAATGCAGGAGAATTGTGTAAGCTACCAGATTTTCATTGTCTGAGATAGTGATAATATGAAAACTCCAGTCTATGATATTTTGGAAGCTTTCAATGATTTTAGCCTTCTTCTCTAAAGAAGCAAGAGATCATTGAAAAACCACTGTTTGTCTCTGTTTCACTCTTTATTTCATCAAACCTCCACATCTCTAGAAGAAGAGTGAAGCAAATAATTAAATGTATGAGCATGCATGTATGTACAGCACAGAATCACAGAATCACACAGCAATAACTGTCTTTCCCTTGGTTTTGAAAATTTATTTAACAGCATTATTTCTAACAGCTTTTGCATTACGTATGGTTTGGGTGTATGAATTTGGAGGAGTAGTGTTTTGCTTAATTTTGAAGCAAAAGTGGACACTGCTGTGTGTTATTCAAGTCTATCTCAGAGTTTCAGTTTTTTAAACATGTGTCATTTTGAACATTTGAGTACAGGCACTGTACAGGTATTTCACGTGCAGATTTATATTAGCTAATTAAAATAGTGTAGAGTTCCTGAACTGTTAACATAGCCAAAATTTTAGTCAGTGCTTTGAATTTGTATTAGCATACTCAGTGAGGTGTGTTTAAAAAGTAATTTATCTCAACAATACACAAAACTAATTCAAAATTCTTGTGCTTATTTATAGGAGACTTTACAAATCGATGAAGATGACAGACCAGAGCTGGTGTGGTGGAAATGCAAGAAATGGGCTTTACATATCGTAGCTCGTCTTTTTGAACGGTAGTAGACTGACAAGCTGATTGAAAACTAAATTAGGGTTACAAATCTTTGATGTTCCTTGGATGCAGTTAGACAAGGCAGTTGACTTGGTTTAACAGCTCGTAGTCACCAAAGAAAATCCCACAGCTGTCCTCTTCCTTTGCACTGGTGCAGCTAATGGCTTGAGCTCTCAGTGAGATGATTTGTCTCTCTATCCTGGCAAGAAACTAGCAAGGAAAAGTATTTTTATCTTTATTTATTCATCTATAACTGCTTATATTCTTAAATACAAAGGCAGGGAAAGATTTGAAAAGAAATCCAACAAGGTGGAAGTTACAGAGCTTATAACAACAGTGCAGCTGTATTTACTTGACTGTAACATTGCGCTGGATGAGGTTCTAAGAAAAGAAAAGGGAAGTGAGGCATCATGTAGGAAATAATGGCTTAGTAGAATATCTGTGGAAACAATTTGTTGGGGATGGAAGGGTACTCAGGGTCATTTGTGTTATAGAAAACACTGTATTTTCGTGACACAGAAGGCTCTTTGCAATGAAAGTAAATGTTTGTCTTCTCTTTGTTTTAAAGGTATGGAAGTCCAGGAAATGTAACTAAAGAATACTTTGAATTCTCAGAGTTTTTTCTAAAAACATATGCTGTGGGCATACAACAAGTAAGTACAGTCAGTTTGTTTCTAAATTCAGTCATTTTAACTGAATAAAGATCATTTTCCAATAGTGTGCTCAGGTCTTGAAGTTCATAAAGCAAAACTGAATGGAATCAGATTCGTTTTTCATTATAGTTACATAATCAATGAATATACAGATGTTATAATTATGAAATAAAGAAGAGAGTTTGGCTAAATAGATCATTATATCAAAAAGAGAATAGAGTGCTTATTCTTATCCTGGGCTTGCTGTAAAACTCCAAAGGGGGAATTTCAGGAAAGATCCTTCCCTGCTCATAGTCAGCTCTTAAATGGGTCCAGGAGAGATAGAGCCAGGCTCCATCCCTTCCAGCAGCACAGGTGAATTGCCTTCACCTGTGCTCCCAGGGGTGACTCATTGCTCGCCTCAGGTGATCAATCAAAGGTTCAGGCCATGATTCAGCAGTTCCCATGCTGTAGTGATTGAGAAATTCTTTAGAAATCTTAGTCCCATAATTAACTGAGGTATAACACACAAATGTTCAGCTATTTGGAAAAACTGTGCAGGAAAACTTTGAGAAAAGCAACTGCATATCAGTGTTACCAGCATGCATAGTTAACAGAAAAAAGCAATGATTTCTCATAGAGGGATGTGTTATCAGGCCACTCCTTAATAAGAGATTTTGCTGCTGACAACTTAGGAACACTGGATTCTGTCCTGTTTTACGTCAGGAGGATACAATCAAATTAGAAAGTTCTTGGAGAGTAGCAATATTTTTACCTGGTTAGCAGATTTTGTGAAAATAGAGCATATGTTCGCAGTTGACAAGTAAGTTGTTTTTGTTGGGGAATGCTAATTATGTGTGTGTAACATGGTATTGTGGAGAGGGTTTGGTTTTGATAAAGCGGCACAGAAGAGAGACGCTGCCTGTAAATGTTTTCTGTGCTTTTGTGCCAGCTTACCTGTGGTCCTCTGGGAATGGATCTCCCTAGGGTCTCCCTAGTTTGAGGAAGTAACTGTAGCAATTGGGTGCCTGGAAGTCCGTGGAGTGGTGGTTTGCAAGCTCAGATGTTTGTGGACCAGCTCCTTTTGTTTCCCATTCAGCTTGCTACATTTTGTAGCAAGTAGAGTGGTAGGTAGTTCCTAGGCTTTGTGCTCAACTAAAGCTCTTGAGCATCCAGGCAGGCTTTTGGGTTACATGTTCCAAAGAAACTCTTGAGAGCAGTTTACTCTCCTGCTGGTGATTCTGGGCTCTTGATTTTTAAGTAACGCCTGTTTGGATAATTTGTATTTGCAGGGATGTGGCTTCTCAGCAGACTGCCCGACAAAACATCCCTGACAGGGCATCAGCAGGCTTCTCAGGGCTCAGAATTCCAGCATCTTATTCAGAGTGCTGGGCTGTTGTCATTTCATTAGAATGGAATAGAACAGAAAGTTCAGTTGAAAGGCACCTACAGAGACTTCGTCCAACTGCCTGACAACTTCAGGGCCAATCAGAAGTCAGAGGTGTTACTGAGGGCATTATCCAAAGGTTTTTTTGAACACTAACAGGCCTCTCAGCAAACTTCCTCATTATCCTGTCTCCAAATCATTGATAAAAGTTTTAAACAGGACTGGTCCTAGACTTATGCCCTGGAGAACATTGCTAGTGATCCATTTTCAGTACAACTCTTTGAACTCTGCTTTTGAGCCAGTTCATCACCTGGTGTAATGTGAAGCTGTTTATTTCACAATTGGGCGATTTATCCATAAGGATGACACGAGGGATGGTCAGTGAGGCTGTACTAAAATACAGAAATATTGAATGCACTGCCTTCCTTTTATCCACCAAGCTTAGGACCTTATTATAGAATGAGATCAAATTAGTAAGGCAAGATTCATGAACCCACATTGACCATGCCTGATAATTAAGTCACCTTCAGACTATTTCAAAATAACAAGATTGTCTGCAAAAACAATTTCTCCATCCAGTTATAGAAAACAAAACAATTTATCCATTGGTGTATCAATTCTGTGTAAAGATGTGAATGATAAGAACTAAAGGATGGTTGTGGGGAGACTGCTAAGTATCAAATAAAAAGAAAGGAGAAACAGCCAAATATAAATTCTAATTTCTTTGCAATAATTAATTCCTAAGTAGAGAAAGAAGCATCCATGGGCAGTGGTCATTTACAGTACTTAATGTTTTTTATAAGACCGGGATATGAAGCAGGGGGAGAGCAGTTTAGCTCAAAAAATAAATGCTCTTGGATGATCTGCATGTTTCTTTCACTTCTCACTCGTAGATGCTGATTTGTCACGTTTCACAGCAGAGTTAGTCAGAATGCTATTGTGAATATTACATTACTAAGCCTTTGTTACATATTTTTCAGTTAACTGCTGACACTGTGTTAGAGTCTGTGTGAGATATTGCCAATCTTTGCTCAAGGAGTGTATTGTAAAAAAGAATAAGATCAGACTTAGTACCCCTAAGGGAAGGAGTTACGTTCAAAATAAGATTTACTATAGTGTTGTAAAGAATTATTAAGTAGAGTTTTTCTTCTGAGAACACGATTCAGTACTTTTGTTACGCTTTGTCCTTGATTTTTATTGTTGCTTGTCTGTGTGGCAGTTCTTTATGTTTACTAGCACTCAGTAGTTCCTTTGCTATTAATGTTGAATAGTGGCTTTGTACCGTAGGTTGTTGTTAGAAGAGCAAGCCTTTCTAATAAGCACTGTGTTACAGTTTGTGATCGCGTGCTATGTGACACTATCTGATACTGACAACAACCAACTGAAGTTTTTTTTCATCACCTGATTCACGGGTTTAGATGTTAACCCAATTTCCTTTTTTAGTTTAGTATTTCTATTATTACTGCTCTTCTTCCAAAGTCATTTGGCTTCGTTAGGGGATTGTCTGTTCAAAATGAACACAAACTCCATTAACAGATTTAGATGCCAACTGGCTTGAAAATATCGCTGTACCTTTTCAGTATCTGTTCCAAATTTGTCTGAGGCCTGTGTAAACTGTGAGTCTGTGAATTCTGATGCTTGCTTTTGGTTTGCAATCACAAGTGATCATGTGATGGATCTAATAGTAAAGGTAAATGTACCTAAATGCTTGCAAGTTTAGGTTCTTAACGTTTCAGTGATCTCTAAACTTTTGGATCAAAGACACTGCGGTGGTTACTGACACTAGAACTTTTGTAACTAGTCAGTCTGTGCTGAAATTCACTGAAAAGCTGTCCTGCATGTCCATGTATGACAGCTAATTTTCCATCTTCATTTAAAAATACCAATTCTTTGTTTCTTTAGGTTCTGTTAAGAATCTTAGACCAATACAGACAGAAGGACTATGTTGCACCACGTGTTCTTCAGCAAACGTTAAATTACCTGAACCAAGGGGTCATTCACTCTGTAACGTGGAAGCAAATGAAGCCACACATACAGGTCAGTAGATAAAACCCAGGCAGAAATAGTGCATGTCATCAGAATGATAAAAGAAGCAGTTTCCTGTAGTTTCATGAATCTTTCATGCAGCATCAACATGGCAAAAAAAAAAAAAAAAAAAAAAAAAGGCATTCCCACACTGCAGTTCTTTTTTACAATGTCATGACTAACTTTTATTGCAGATATTGTCAATGCAATTAAGGATTCTGTTCCATTAATTCCTTATTTTGCTGAAGTCTGACACAAAGTTCTGGCTTTTATTAGTTGCTAGTGTGAAGAAATTGCTATAGATTTGGAAATTATAATTGATTGCAGTGCAAAGACGGTCACCAAAGGTACCATAAACTATGAGGAACTGAAGTGTTTTAAGGATATATTTTATATGTGGATATAAGAACAAGAGAAAAGTGATTTTCATATCTCTTTTCTCCACATTATAAGCTAGTTAATATAAGTTTGTTAACCCCATGAATGTTATGGAGGAGGATGTTGAAGCCTGTTCTTTGTGTTAAGTGTTGGATCTGTGAGAGCCTTCTGCAGAATGCAATGTTCTGTTGCTTACAGATTAGATACTGAAGTGTATTTTGTGTGTGGTGGTGACTATTATAAAGTTAGATTATGTAATTACTGCTGTCTGTATCTGTTGCAAACGGAAAAGAGAATCAGTACTGGAATTTGGTTTCCTATGTACTTACACGCATTTGACTTCTCTGATATTAGAGTATAACAGAAGAAGTGATATTCTCCCTGATGTGCTACAAAGACGAGGACGAAGAGCTGTGGCAAGAAGATCCGTATGAATATATCCGCATGAAATTTGGTAACAGCCTGCAGTTAGAATTTACCTTTGGTTTTCATTACAATTGTATACCGTAGTCCCAAACGTAGTGTGGCAACCATAATGTCTTTGTGTTGCTGAGTGTCTTGAAGAATAGGAAGAAGAGAATTTGTTTCCTAAATCTCACCAATCTGTAATTAAAAGGCAAATCGAGTGAGATTTGGCTACTGCTCGTAAACTAATTCTCTAAAAATTGTTTTCTACTACAGATGTGCTCAGTGCAGCTAGTAGACTGGCTTGCTTTCCTTAGAATGCCAGTTTTAGAATCCTGAATTGGAAGCATGGCAGCTGTCTGCAAGCTCTTGCAGCTCACACTTTGACCAGAAGAGGCCTGACTTGCTCTTTCTCTATTGAAAATTGTTCTTGTTTTTGGTGTCTTTTGCCAACTCTTATTACTAAGTTGTAAAACAATTAGGTGTATATATATTTTTCAAAAGTCACACAGAAAAAATCTTGGGAACTACACATTGGACTAATTTGTAATAATTAGTCATGTTAAAAGGGTCATATCATCGAAAAAGTGAAGGGTACTTAAAAATATAGCAAGTTTATCCTGCTATAAAATTCCAGTATGCCAGGCACCACAGAGACATGGAGCATTTGGAAATTGTTAATTAATTGCATTTTGGTTAGCATATGAAAAAACAGAGTGTAAAAAGTCCTGGAATACTTAAAAAACAAATAGACAACCCTCTAATCTTGGAAAGTTATAGAAAACAATTAATCATCATAGTGTTGATGACAGGGATACAAATGTGTAACTGATTTTTTTTGGTATCTAAATTCTGTTATTTTTGTGTAAGCAGTGAGCTTTATTTTTATTTGGAGCTGAGAGTTAAATACAGATTTGAACTGTATTATGGAAGCATAAATGCACACTGACTTGAAATTTAGTGAAAAGTATTTAGATTTGCAACAGGAATGGTATTATTTCTGAATCTTGATTTATCTTCGAGATCTCAGGAAAAGTTAATGTGTAATTTTAAACACATTTTAATGTTATTTTTCTAGATCCTTTTATTTAATGCAGTCTATGTTGGGATGTTTGAATTAGAACACATTTGGCAGCACAGATTGTTTTTCAATATAAAATTATATTTTTAGTACGATTAAAAGAGGTTTACTTGTAATGAAAGAAGCTGAAAAGCTTCATCTTTCAGCAAATTTAAACGACGCCAGATCTGAGGATTTTTTACATTCAGAGTTTCCCATGAGGTTTCAATAAAATCAAGCCAAAATTGTGTACATATGTTATACAGATTGCTCTGGAATGCATTGGTGTTCTTATAGTGGTTTTAATTAAAAAAAAAAAAAAAAAAAAAAAAGAAAGAGAGCAACAACCAGCGAATATAAAACAATTTTTCATCCATTAAATACATGATCTCAAAAGAACTAATGAGTAAATAATTCAGTCTTGATAAAGGGAGTGATGAGTGGTCAGTAGATTAAGAAAGTCAAGAAATAAATACTTCTGTGGGTGATGTGAGCTTGAGTCTGACTCTACAAATGTTAATTGAAGACAGTCTTGTCCAACAAGCTTAAGTTGGTTTATCAGCATTCTATGATGTTATAATCAGAAAGTGAGCTTATTAATTTATCTTTAATGGTAGATGTATTTGAGGATTATGCCTCCACAACAACAGCGGCACAGAATCTCCTTTATACAGCAGCAAAGAAGAGAAAAGAGGTATGGAACTTTTTTTTTTTTTTAAATTTTTGCTTGAACTTTCTTTAAAAATGTTATTTTCCCTTACATTTGAAGATGTTACAGGAAGCGTCTCAAAATAATTTACTTGCTAATATGTGGCCAAACTCATTCCTGGCTGAATGCCATCAATTTGGGGAGAATTAAAATATGTAAGTATAAATAAATAAGTGGTTTCCTCTTACAGCTCTGAAATTAACATGCCCGATAAAACAAAGTGGAGTAGATGTAGTAATAGCTTCCCATGTTTATGAACAGGATCTGCCATGGCTCTTCAGAGATTCTCAAAGTGTAGCAGCAGCACAAGTGAATCTAATACTTGTTAATTTTCACTGATGCAATTTAAAGTCCTGTTGACAACAGTGAAATTAGGAAGAATGAAATGAATTTCATGGAGCTAATCTTTAAATGAGAACATAACTTTTCTATAGATCCTTTTATATTTACAGTGATATATGCTAAAAGAAAAATCATTCAGCCTAGCCCTGCAAACCATATCGTTCAGAATACTGACTTCTCTGGCAACCATTTTCACATGCCATAAACATGGAGGTCGATTTCTTCGTGAATATTCAGAAAAGACCACAGTCTTTGTATCAGGTGAAATAGCCTGTGACCTTTCTATTTCTTTATTGTTAAAGCAATGTGTCTGCTGACCTTCTCAATTTCATAATTTGTACTCAAATTGTCAAAACGTCGTCATTTCTGAAGAGCACGTAATGTCGGAGGAGACCACAGTAAGCAATTTGTTTTGCCAAGAAACCTTTTCAAATCTAGCTGACTTCACAAGTTGTTGCCAAGATTGACAGATTAAAATAAATCTGAGGTTTTAATCAAAGCTGCCCTTGAATATGTTTGTGTTCATACATACGTGTACGTGCACGCATGCCTTTATATACGTAGTGGGCTAACCAGATGGGAAGTTTAGGGGAAAAAAAATATCTGTTTGAACCTCTTGTCTTTTCCTCACCTTTCCTGGTTTGCCTCAGAACAACAAAAATACCATAATCACTGTCACTAATATGAAATTTCAGGGAGATGAATTCAATTCTGTAAAGCTTGAACGGAAAGTTGGAAAAGGAATTTTTTAAATCTGGGAAGATGGTCCGTATAGTACCTCCCAGTTGCTTTGATTACAATGAGATTTCTACTTACAAAAGTCATGTGATTTTTTTAAACTTAATTCTTCAAAAATAATTTGATTTGGATACTTCACTGACAAAAGGAGATTCTGTGCTTTTTGTCGTACGCAGGTATTGCCAAAAATGATGGCATATTGCTACCAGATTCTGACAGAACCAAACATTGATCCGAGGAAGAAAGATGGAGCTTTGCATGTGATAGGATCCTTAGCAGATATTTTACTGAAAGTAAGTGGGTAAATAAGTAAAATATGTTTATGTTTGTAATTCCATTTGTAATTCCATTTTTCAAATAAAATTTATTAGCTTGTTAAAGTCTGGCTAGCCCACAACTGTATTTTTGGAATCAGTAGAAAGATTGCAATGTGCAGTAAGATTCTGAGGGTTTGTTCCTTTTAAAATATTTATGTTCTTTGCTGGTTTTATGTATTCCCATTTTACATGCTGATTTTTGTTCTCAAGTTTCTCCAAAGCTCTCTTTGTTTTCTGCTGAACCATCCCTTGGTCTTCTCATGCTTTACTAGTAAAATGGAAGGGTATTAAGAAAAACAAACATGCATTCCATCAATAACATTGCTTATTATTCTTTAGAAACCCCTCCCAACAGCTTGCACTATTGCGGGCTCCTCCTGGTTCCAGAAAAATGTTTGCTTAGCATGTTGTAGGAATGTTTTGTCTAGCTTTACAGCCTTTGTACCCTACAATGCGTGACTTTAAGATGTATGTCACCATCTATCTGGGAGTTCTCCAAATCAGTGGAAAGTGGCAATAAGAATTTCTGTCCTTCATTTTTTATACACAGTATCTTCACAATTTCAGTTTTTCTTTGACGTTTGAATACACGTTTGACCTATCCTATTACTGGCCAGTGTAGTAGTAGTAGTAGTTAGAATTTCTTTTATGTTTCTGCAGGTTGTGGAGTCCAAGTACACCCTCTTTCCACCTCAAAAGTAACTGGCAAAAAGTTATCACTTTCAGAATGAGAATGGAGGCTCGAAGCATCTTTTTAAATTATGTAAAAATTTATTTTATGTGAGTTATCTCTTTATGCAGTAGGCTTCTTCATACAAAGCCTTGAAAGGCTAAAGGCTGAGTGCTGCACTTGGGTCATAACAACCCCAATGCAGCTGTACAGTTCTTGGGGAGAAGTGGCTGGAAGGGTGCCCGGGAGAAAAGAGGGATGCTGGTTGACAACTAGTTGAACGTGAGCTGGCCATGTGCCCAGGTGGCCAAGGAGGCCAATGGTATCCTGGTCTGCAGCAGAAATAGTGGAGCCAACAGAGTGAGGAACCCACTGTGTTTGGTGTATTTGTCCCTCTGTATTTGATGCCAGTGAGACTGCAGCTCGAATACTAAGTTCAGTATTTTCTCCAAGAAAGATACTGAGTTGCTGGAATGCATTCAGAGAAGAGCAGTGAAGCTGGTGAAGGGACTAGAAAACGAGTTACAAGGGGTGACTGAGAGAACTGGCACCATTTAGAGGAGGCTGAGGAGGGAGACCTGTTACTCTCTACAGCCATCTGAAAGGAGGTTGTAGCAAGATGAAGATCAGTCTCTTTTCTCAGGTAACTAGCAATAGGACATGGAAATGGCCTCAAGTCCACCAGGGGAGGTTTAGGTTGGATACCAGGAAGAATTTCTTCACAGGAAGGATGGTGAGGCATTGGAACAGGCTGCCCAGGGAGGTATTTAAAAGATGTGTATGTGACACTTAGAGCCATGGTTTAGTAGTGGAATTGGTAGTGTTAGGTGGCTGGTAGGCCTTCATCCTAGTGGTGTTTTCCAACCTAAATGATTCTCTTATTCATGTTACAAGGAACAGTTCACCGACATACTTTCTCTGTATATTTTTTAACCAGTGTACCAATACATGATATGAAACTGAAATCCTGAAACATCAGTAACTTTTGGAAATTTTTTTTAGATATATTGGATTACAAGTGCCGTGGTTCATGTTGGAGTAAAACAAAGAATAGAATATCTTTATGTTGTGAGGAGTCTTTCATACTGAATGGAGTTTCATTTATCTTTGTCCTGAGAAAAAAGAAATTTATTCCACTATACTGCTACTATCTGAATTGTCTGTCTTGAAACCTAAGGTTATATTTTGTAAAAGAGTAGTAATCCCCAAAGTTGCCGTCTTCTCTCTACTCTGAATTTTTTGTTTGGGATTTGGCAGATGAAAAAATTCCATGAGCCATTTCTACATAAAATACTTTCTTGTGTCTTTTGCCTGGAGAGTCAACTGAGACATTGATCGAAAGTTGCTTGAAGACACAATGACTGGCTTATCTACCTTGTTTTCCACATACTCTCCATTTAAGTGCGTGCAAACCTCTGATGTGTACAAAAGGAAAAATTCTTTTCCCTTCTTCGTATTTTTTTTTCCCTCTTCCCAGTTCTTCATCTGCCTCTCTTAAGGTTTGGGAATCTGCATGGGGAAAAATTGATGTATGAATTAGTGAAGTAGAAGTATGATCACTTAAGATACATTCAGTATTGCGTATTCGCTTTCACCTCTTCCTAGCCACTTATTTGTTCCTTTACATGGTGACACAGTCCCTGGTATGATTGTTATTTTTTTTCCTCATATATTGGGTCAGTATGTGCTAGGAAAGTCCCCAGTCTCCATGCAGCTGGTTCTGGCATTCTGTGAATTCTTGGAATTTGCCAAATTTGGAATATTGAAAAATGGTTTCAACTGCTTATCCATATCCAGACAAAGAAATTGCTATCATAAAGGAATTCTTTTTCCATCAATAACAATATTGAAAGCAATATTTTTGAATATATAAAAATATATGAGCTGTTGTGATGTGTAAAATAATTAGCTGTAATGCTTATAATAATGGCAGGTCATTTGAATCTCAGATCTGTGTCATACTAAATTTCGGTTTATCTTAAGCTGTGTATGCGCTCTGCTCTAGGAATACTCAAAGCACTGGGTTCTTCATCCTAATTAATTTTTAAGAATAAAAATGAGCTGGAAACAGTGCTTCAGAGAAAATGAAAATTCCTGGTTTAGTGTTATAAAAAGTAACGTAGAGTTGATTATTATATGAACAGATTTTTTACTTACCTGGTTTTCAACTTGAGGTTTGTTCAGTTAAAGTTACAAGATCCATACCTCTTCATATGTATTTCATAGACAAATCATTCTATTTTTCAAGATATCAAGATATTTAAAATGATTTTCTGACTTAAGTTGAATATATGAAATGAGTGGTCTCCAAAATTTGTTTTTCTTTTCACCAACAGAAGAGTGTATTCAAGGATCAAATGGAGCTGATGTTACAGAATCATGTATTTCCACTGTTCATGTCTAACCTGGGTTACCTCAGAGCTAGAGTAAGTTCACCAGTTAAGTCATCCTTAGTATTTGCTGTGTTTCTTTCCTTTGAGTTTAACTTCATTCTGAGTGTCAGTGAAAGAAGTAAAGCAAATATATTGTAAAAATTCAAATAGCTCTCTTGTACATTAATTTTTCAACATTTTAACTTAGAAATTGAAAGGTCAGTTAATTGAATTGTAGGAAGGTCTCTTACGTTGTTGTTTACACCCTCGGTCAAACTGAAGAATTTGAGCAGTGATTGTGACTGTTTTGTGATTATTTTTCATTAGTATCTCAATAACTACAGCTGCTGGATACCTGTGACGAATAGGTAGAATTTTCACAGAGTTTTGGGTATAGCTTGAACAAAATCCACAAGTGCTGTGAGTCATAAACAGATGGTTAATTTTCTTTTGTTTATTTTCTGGTATTTTTCTTCATAAGGACCAGAACTGTAAATGCTAATTTTGTGCCCACTGGATTTATTGGATTTTGGGGAAGGAAAGTAAAGAACTGACTGTAAAAACAGTTATGCATTACCATATGAATACATTGCAATCAAGAGAAAAAGTAGTCCCTAACTTGCCTTTGCTTTTTTTTCATGCAGTCCTGTTGGGTACTTCATTCATTCAGTGCTTTGAATTTTCACAATGAGCTGAACTTGAGGAATGCAGTAGAGCTGGCAAAGAAGAGCCTGATTGATGATAAAGAAATGCCTGTCAAGGTAGAAGCTGCCATAGCTCTTCAGATGTTAATAAGCCACCAGGAGCAAGGTAGGCTGCAGTGATTCATCAATTGTATGTACTGATTTATTTCTCTATTTATTTTTGTAGACGATAAGATTTGTGCAGATTTATCTAAACGTTTTTACCATTTAAAGACATAGATTTTGGAACATGTCATCATGTTCTGACAGCTTCACTTATTCATTAGCTACTGTATACAGCCCAGAATTCTAATGCAAGTTTTTATGTTGGGTTTCTGCATCAAAATCGGTATCAGAGTATTTCACTTGATTAATTAAATAGTATCCATCTTTCATTTTCTTTCATGAGGTGAAATAGTGTGTATTTTAGAATGAGTGCTTCCTGTGTGTAAGGGCATGTATTCCTTTGAAACAGTGGATGTTTTTTGTAGATGGCTGTACTACGTGCAGTCTGTGTACTCCGTTAGTCTGCTGGTTATGCGCTGTATCAGTGCTTTGGGTGGGACTTTTTTGGTTTTGTTTGTGTATGTGTGAATTTTAATCTTTTTAAAATTACTTCATTGGAGAGCAGTCAATGACCTAGCAGTTTTGAGTATATTTCTGTTTAGGGTTAATTGATTTCATTTAATTTTAACTTTTTTTTTTAAGCTAAGGAATACGTGAAGCCATATGTAAGACCAGTTATGCAAGAGCTCTTGCACATTGTTAGAGAGACAGAAAATGATGATCTTACAAATGTAATCCAGAAGATGATCTGTGAGTACAGTCAGGAAGTAGCTACCATCGCTGTTGACATGACACAACACCTGGTAAGAGACAATACTAAAGTTACTCCCCGATCACAAGTGTATGCCTGGCTTTGTAAACTTCTTATTAACTTGGTTTTTGTGCACACTGTTTAAAATAATCCCTGTGAAGGCCCACCTATAGTATTCACCACAGTTTGTATTTCAGACTGAAGCATCTTTAAAACCTTTTCAGAGGCTTTCAGAGATGCTGAATTTTGCCCTTCCTTTTAACTAGTCAAGTTTTGACTATTTAACATTTAAAATGTCAAATAACCAGACTTCTCAAAAAAAAATTCATTTTCTATATTCATTTTTCAAAACTAAGAAGCGTATTTTTCAATACTGACAGCTCTTACAGACAGGGCACTGATGGTTTTGCCTTAGCTATCTTGTTTCTACATGAAAAATGAAGAATGTGAGTTGTCTTTTGATTGTCAAATTGGTTGTTTTTCTTTCATAGGCTGAAATATTTGGTAAAGTACTTCAGAGTGAGGAATATGAGGAAGTAGAGGACAAAACAGTTATGGCCATGGGTATCTTGCACACTATTGACACTATCCTAACAGTTGTGGAAGATCACAAGGAGGTGAGATTTCCTCTTCTATGTCTGCTGTTCCTTCATGCCTTTCAATTCATGACAACAAGCACTTTTGTGGATGTGTTGCATCACTTGACGCACATGAATGAACATTTACTATAGCAGGATGGTGAATTAGTACCAAGTGGCCTCTGAGAAATTTGAATTTAAAGCCTAGTTTATTTCTGTTTTCTTAATTTTTCAGCTTTGCTCTCAACCTTACAGGGAATTTATATCCTGAGTGTAAAATCTTCAGCCCTTATTCTGGTAAATACTTCATTGGATAGTTATTACAGAGTGTTAAATGGTCATTAGGATGTAATATTTTGCATATGGGCAACGTTTTGCTAATGGTGACTCATTTTGTTATTCACCTAGCAATTTCTTGGATAGGATTTCTAGGAATTGGTCCTTTTGGTGGTACAAGTCTACATTTCACATATTCAGAGAAAAAAGGGATTGTTTCTGCTTGTAGCTGGCCGAGGTAGGAAGGACTTCAGTGACTGGCAAGAGAGACAAAGTCTGTCAGTATCTGAGCCCAACTGACAAAAAGCACAAAAGTGCTTTGTCCTAGTTTGGTCTGCTTCTTTCAAGTTACAGTGAGAAAGTTTTATTGCCAATGTGAAATCCGACTATGAAGCTTCTAATTTTAAAAATTCATTCATATTTTTTGTGTGACCATCGTGTTCCTTTGGATTTGAACACATCTTTCATTCCTTTACAAGAACCCCTTGCATCTTTTGAAAGCTAGAATGAAATCTGGTAGCTAAACTGAACGTCAGGAGAGGTCATCTGAAACGGATGTTCTGGTTTTAGCCTAGGAAAACCTTTGGGGTTGGAGTATTTATGGTATCAGCTTAGCAGCTTGTTTTTCTGCTATATGAAGAGCCAGCTAAAATACTGTGCAGAGGGCTCTCCTCAGGATCTCAAATCATTTTAGAAGCAATATAAATGATATGCAAATGATAAATGGAGCTGAAAACTCCTTAGAAATTCCTTTCCCGTTTATCATTAACTATACAGAGAGCTTAGAGGATGATCAGCTCTAAGCCATGTTTCTGAATCAGTCGCCTGAAGGTATGTGGATGAATCTGTGATCACATGCTTAAGCCCTTTGCTGGGAGGAAATGCAGGAAGCCTGACAGCTGCAAGATTTCATGTTTAATGAATGACTAATGGCAATACCACGAGATGCCTGTACTGGAGGTTTCACTTAGGCTTGCAATGTGGCTATATCATTCTCCTAATTTGATTTCATTCATAAAAGTAGTCTCTCTCTCCAACATAAGAAAGCTGAGTAAGTTCTCCTCTCAGTTTGAAACTGCCCACTCCAGCAGATAGCTACATAATAGCTTTTGTCTGGCTTCAATGCAGTTTTATTCTCCCAAATTCTGCGTGTTTCCCTTTTGTCAAGCCTGCTCTTATGGGAAGCTCTCCATAGATCTTAAGCAAAAGCATCACTTCCTTTCTTTTTTTTCAACCCATTCTTTTTCAAAGAAGGAATTTGGACTGAGGCCTTATTACCTCAGTCTGAGTAGAGGGTTTGCCTCTTTACATTATATGTAGAAAAGGACAACAGGCACAGTTTTTAACAAGATCTGCAGAATAATTTTTAAGTTAGAATTCTTATAATAAAGAAAAATGCCGTGACAAGCCTTAAAGTAATGCTGCTTATTGAAAAACTGAGTACTCACACCAGTGAGACTTTACTTCACAGTCATGTGATCGTTATTAAATTACTGTCTTCGTAGATTTGTAAATGAAATCCTTTTTTTTTTTACTTTTTAATTTCAGATAACTCAACAGCTGGAGAGCATTTGTTTGCAGATCATCGGCCTTGTTTTGCAGAAGCACGTTATAGGTATTTTTTTGGAGCTAATTTTTAGAAAAAGATTATAGTTTTTTACATGGGAAAAAATCTGTCATTATTACAAACAATACTGTCATCCTGGACAGTAAAAGGTCTGGACAGTAAAATTGTGTTAAAAGGCAAAGTCTGCAATTACTATTTTATGAGGGGGAAATTAAAAAAAAAAAAAAAAGTAGATTAAGAAAGTAAAAATGTTTTGCAGTAAGTCAAAGCAATGTCTTTGTGTTGCTAATACATTTTCCCAGTGTGTTTTTATAATGAGAAGCAATGCTTATTGTTGTAGCTACAGCCAACGTAATGCTTGTCCAAAAGAGTCTTTTCCAATTTGTATGATTTTTTTCCATATTGACATAGTTACTAATTGCTGTCTTCCAATAGTTATGTGACGCTTTGGGTTTTGAGATATTTACAAGAAAAACTTTTTTTACAGGTTGTTGTTTACAAAATGTTTCTCCTTTCCAGAGTTTTACGAAGAAATTCTTTCCTTGGCATACAGCTTGACGTGCCAGATGATTTCACCTCAAATGTGGCAGCTTTTAGGTGTTCTCTATGAGGTTTTCCAGCAGGATTGCTTTGAATACTTTGCAGGTATTTCCACTTGCATTCTGTTGATGTTTCAAGTGTTTGGGAATTCATCTCCAGAACCTGCCTTACAAAGGTTGCTTCCATGTAGTATCTGGGTGTAAAGTGATCGGGTGCTTGAGTTGTGCCCTGACCATCTGTGTAGTGTAGGAGTGTAACAGGAGCATATCTAGCTCGAGAAGTGTGTTCCAGTCTGTCAGTATGATCGGTTGTTGTAGGAGGTCCTGATAAAAGAAAGCTGAAATGTAGTTAAAGGGAAACTACAAATTGGTAAATTAAAATGTAGTTCTATTCTATTTCTTCTCCTGAGAATGCCTTCTGCATTGTGCACTTCACAAAGAATTCTGCTAGAGTAGACTTTAGCAATATTTGAATTTCCAACCATGTCCAGGAGTCTGGATGAATGAATCCAATTAAAGGATTGCAGCCTCATCGGTTAGCAGTTTCATTGATTAGTCTGTAATTTCTTTTTTTTTCGCTCTTCCTCCTCTGCAGATATGATGCCTCTCTTGCATAATTACGTGACCATTGACACTGATACTTTACTGTCTAATCCAAAGCATTTAGAAATCATTTACGCTATGTGTAAAAAGGTAAGGCTTCTGATTCTTACTTTTGTGCTAATCACTGGTACTTAATTATCAGATTAAAAGTGATTTGAACATGCCAGGTAGTGGCCAGTCATTTTGGAGTGAAATGAAGCTTGGTCTCATCTCAGTTCTGAGTAGCCATAGCAGCTTCAAACTTTTAAGTGAAACACTTCAAAAAAAAGAAGTACCAAAAAACAACCAATGTGCACAAAAATGTGTGGGAGAAAGTTGCTGTGCTGTTGTTTATGTTGGCACTCTTCTATGAACAGCTATTTTGGTAAAGAGAGGAATTAATGAAGTCTGATTTCTTTTGGTTGTGTATCTTGTGATTGGATTCTTTTGTTGTCAGCTAGGATATGAACTCACTTGAAGTTCTTTATACGTTTTCTTTTTTTCCTTTTATATTCTTTCTGTTCTGCTTAATGAAGTATGAGATCATGCTGCAGTTTTTTTTCTCATTTAGGGCATTATAAATGTTAGAAGCATGGATAGGTGCTTATAAGCATCTATCCACTTGTTTATTTTGAAGAGATTCGTGGGGATTTAACATGATTGAGAATTCTACTGCCCTGTCAGGTTTGATTGACACTGTCCATAGGGTTTAAACATACCGGGGAAAAAGTTTCATGCATATGCACATGTACAGAGAGAGATTATACACATCTTGTTTTTAATCTGAAATTAGCCTAGAGATAAGTCCTCGCTTTGCCAGGCTCTTTATCTGCCACTGCCTATTAGAATGGAAGTCACAAAGAAATAGAGCATGGTGAAATCAATGAATCTTATAAATAATATTTCCTTAAAAAAGGAAAAAATAAAGGACGTATAAATATTACTAAAGTGAATAAGAAGCAACAACAATTTCTTCTAAATTCTAGCCATTAGCCACCTATCTTCATTGATGTCCTGTAGAGATGAGATTTGTCATTCTTAATTTGTCGTAAAATACAACCTGAAGATACATACATGCCATTTAGAGGTTTGATTTGTGCATGTGCGAAAGCATTCATAGTTGACAGTGATTAATACCAATAAACTAAATTGCCATTGTGATTGCTAGGTATTGACAGGAGATGCAGGAGAAGATGCAGAGTGCCATGCAGCCAAGCTCCTAGAAGTAATTGTTCTTCAGTGCAAAGGACGGGGTATTGACCAGGTGATGCATGTCTAACAGATCCTCTCTTCTGCACATTTCCAGTGCTATGTGTATAATTCCTGTGAAAAGCAATTGGAATCAGAGAATTTTAGGGAGAAGTAATACGTAGGAATGGGGAGAAATACAGAAAAGTGTAAATAAGCTCTTGGGAGTTTGTACATAGCATTTTTAGTGCTGAAGATACTTAAGCATGACAAGAGTATGATTGTAAACTGAGTGTTAAGGGAATAGTATGATGTGTACGATTGCCTTCTTTATTTTATTTGTAAATAGAATCTGAAAGGGATTCAAGTGAATTGTATACATTTACACTGAAGTAACAGTGTGGTGGAAGACTGGAGTGAGCACAACTCTGAATTAAAACTGATGTAATCTGGACTGAAACTCACAAACCGAAACATTCATAATGCTTCTTTAACTAACATACAGTGTAAACCTACGCATTGAAATATATGTAGATTTTTATTTCATTGTGTAGAGCTACGTGCACGCTCACTTTTTCAACCCTCACTTGTTTCAAACTTGTTTTTGAGAAGATCTGTAAGCATGTAATCAGAGGCTTAAAATGCTTTTGTATTAGGAAACGAATCTTATGCATTCTTAAGATATACCTGGACTTCGATTAGCCCTGGAAGTCAGTTGAGATAAATGTGTTTAAAGCTTTTTAATATCTGGCAACATGTGCCATACCTGATCTTTTTCCCTATTCCTTTCCATTCCCAGTGCATTCCGCTCTTTGTGGAGGCCGTTCTGGAGCGGTTGACAAGAGGAGTTAAAACAAGCGAGCTTCGTACCATGTGTCTTCAGGTTGCCATAGCTGCACTCTATTACAATCCTGACCTACTTTTGCACACCTTAGAGAACATCAGATTTCCACACAACCCTGAGCCCATCACTGCACAGTTCATAAACCAGTGGATGAATGACACAGACTGTTTTCTTGGGCAAGTATTGTCTGTTTGTATTTTAAAAGTCCTTGATTCTGACTTGTTCTCTTCTCATCCTTAGTCATGTAGGTGCAAGAGATCTCATTCCCTGTCTGTTCTAAATAACATTGATCCACACCAGGTCTAGTTACTATGTTACTAACATAGGGGTCCTCTGCATATTTATTTTTTCTTGGTCTTTTGAGTTAATGAGTGTATTGAATTTTCTGTATTGAATTGCAACAATACAAGAGCACAATGCAAATTCTATTTCAGGATTCTTTAAGTTTCTTGAGTATAAACTATCAGACTTGGTATTAACAAGAATTCAGACTAGAAATTAGGAAAAAAAAATCTTCAGTGTGAAACACTGGAACAGGCTTCTTAATGAAGTGATTGATGCCTCATGCCTGTCAGTGTTCAGGAAACATTGGACAGTGCCCTCCTCAGTATGCTTTAACAATTGGTTAGCCAGGAAGTGGTTGAGCAGTTGGACTGGATGATCTTTGAAGGTCTGTTCCTCTTCCCCTCCATGCAAAACAGGTAAATGTGAGAAAAAAGAGAAAAAAAATCCCACCCTTCTTCATTGTAACAAAAGCAGTGTATATTATCACAAACATTCAGACCTTTTCTGTTGCTATGCATAAGAAGTGTCTACAGCACATCCTGTATCTTAACATAAATACACACATCATCATTTAGACATTTAGAGGGGTTGCTTGTGTTGATGACAAAGTAGGCATAAAGTACCCAGTCCTTCATTTCTTTTCTAGCACCACTGGCTGAGAAATGACATCTTTAAGTCTGTCTCTCCTGCATCTTTTGATAATATTACCATTAATTTTTAAATTACTTTTGAGGCTGCTGACTTTAGAAAAGTACGAGACTTTTACTATCAGGATTTCCATGTACTCATTTTTTATGGCTGAAGAAAATTCCTTGATATTCAGCTCCTTATGTTGTCATTTTTTCTTGTTTTGTACCAAATGCTGAAAGCACACAGAGGCAGTATGAAAGCAGATATTCCCTATAGGTGGTAAACTTGTCATTCCTTTTTAAAAGAAATAAAAATGAAAGGGATTTATGGCCTTAAACAGTTCATCCAGTGAGAAGCCAGTGAGATCCAGAGCAGAAAAATACTGTTGAGCTGAATACTTTCCAACTTCAAGTACTTCTGTATGCTACAGCTTAACTTTAAGTTCTTTTGTGTTGCTTTTCAGAAAGCATTAGCTTCTGCAACTACTGTTCAACTAAATTCGTTTTCAGAGACAAAAGTTGGCAAAGCCTATAAAATGAAACACAAGAGATTATCATGCTAGATTCTGCTCAGACTATGAACTTGAATGGCAGCTGAAGATCAAAATGTACCTCTTTGATGCATTGCTACCAGCAGTGAAATAAATATCTGTAATGTCGCTTAAATCTAAAAATTGGGTTTCCTTCAGTGCTGCCTCCTCGGTGGGTGGATTCCAGGCACAGGGCTTTTGCTGTAGTACTGCTTGTCAGGCACTGTGGTGTGATACAAGTGACTCCTCCCTTTCTCCCTGAAGAACAGGACCGCTTCCAGAAGGCCATTTGATTTTAATGAGGGTTATAAGGGTCATCATTTGAAGAGGCTTAACTGAACAGGAATAGTTAGTTGCAAACAAAATCTGGCTTCCTTGCTACCCTTCCTTGGGCCTTATTTTTGTCAGTGAAGACGCTAATGCCACCCTCTCTTGTACAGTTCTTCCTTCCAGCTGTCATTCAGTGTTGTTTCAGTTTAGAATTGGGTTGCTTTCCAGTAAGAAGCAGTTTTAGGCTTAAATTCGAGTCAGTTGCTGTGATCACAGATTGTGGAGAAACAGGAGAAGAACGAAGTAGATCCACCTCCAGGTGTGAATCTCACTGCTATTTCTTCATCAGCCCTGCTGACAGTCTGTGATTTACTGGTTGGTAACGGTGTCTCTTTGTGATACTCACATCACATAACTCTCATGTCCCTTTGTCCTTCTCCTCCCCTGAGTTCCTAGTGCCCACAGATCCTGCTCTGCCCAGGGGTCTGAAAGGCAGTGGGGTTCTGTGTGTGTGTATGTTCTCATGCTGGAGCCAGTGGTGTTTGCCAAAGTATGCAGTATTTCTTCAGCAGTACTTGTGAACTCCTGGAATGGAATCCATGGGAATAATACATCTTGCTGTGGAGGAAGACATTCAGGTTCTGATAAGTAACTGCTCTCCCATGTTATTAAAAATATGGAAACTGTTTAAAACTGTTTAGAAATTTAAAATGTTAAAAATAATCAAGGCAAGGAGATCTCAGAACTCATTGCAAGACTGCATAAATCTGTATGTCACTGTGGATATTACACATCTGTGAATGTGTGCCCACATACCCTAGTATTCAGATACAAATAAACACTGTATATGTTTTCTATGAGTACTTCAAATTGACGAAGGGCAAGGGACTGAAAAAACATTTATCAAAATGTGTTCCTTGCTGCTTTACACCTTTTCCCTGTCAGCCTGAAATTTGGGTGAGATTTCTACATTTCTTATGCTTATTCTTACACTAAAAATCCTTCTGTGGCAACTGGGGTGAGAGGAAAGTGTAACTTGTTTTAAAAAATGAATAGGTATTTTTATCTGTCTATTTAGTTAGTTAGTTAGACTAGGAGGATTTATTTGACAGGAGTTAAGATCATTAGAAATCCTAGGATATAACATCCTAATCTTCTATAGGTCAAAGAAGGATGGTTCCAACTTTGCAACTGGCTAATTACTTGCAGGATACAGATTAATGTAATGGAAAGCAAGTTGATCCTCACATAAAAGGAGCACAATAAACCACTAAGGGAAAGGTAGGCTTAGTGATTTCCCTCTGAAACACTTTCAATACAGTTTAAACTACAGAAGATCTTTTTTTTTAATCTTGTACTGGAGGAAGTGTATTAGCTACAAAAGAAAGCCCGCAGAGTACGTTAAAACCAGACCTGCTCAGGAGTTGTGCATTGCACTGCCATGTATGGCTCCAAGGACATATGTTTAGCACACCGGGCTTGCTATGTCTGTGAGGCAGCAGAGTGATTGCTAGGGAGGGCTACTGAGCCAGTAAGTGTGCATCTCCAAGGACAAAGTAAGGAGGAGAATTGTATCCAGACAGCTTTGTGCAGACACAAGGATACTGAAACCATTCTTTGCTATTACAAAAATATGTAAATGACATAAAATTCTGCTTCACTTGTTCAGGTCCCGTTGATGTTTGATACAGTTGGGACATTGGAGAGCAGAACTTCAGAATTGTCCTGCTGTTTCTCTGTGCTGACATGTGGAAGAAACAAGTCTCCTTCTGGGTTAGGTTCACTAAGGTGGCTCAATGCCTGGGTGTCCTCCTGAGCCTTCTAATAACATGCTCATTCTAAAGGCATGTGCTCATTCTTACAATTCCTCTGATTAGATGCTTGAAAATGGAGCATGACAAATATAGTGCACTTTCTGGCTATTTGGCTACTTCCTAATAATGATTTCCTTTTAAATAACAGTGTGTGAATCTTCCACTTACATTAGCTGTCCAGAAGAGATAATTTAATATGAAGCTAAGCCACAGTTTACTATAATTTTAAAATTATTTTTCCTGTTGTGTTTTGCAATTTGCATTATATAACAGTAGTTTTCTCAAATGTATTCTAAAAGGTAATTCCATGTGTCATTATCAATTCTATTGCACGTACAAATGAAAGAAGTCTTATTGCTTCCCCGTGTCAAGATGCAGTTTAGAAGTCTTTTGTATGCGTTACAGAGCTTGGATCAAACTTGCATGAAGGTGCTGGCAGAAAGAGAGTGTAGAGAAAGTTCTTTCCTTTTGTACTTGCAGTAAGAACAGCTCTTCCTCAGAAGGCTGTACCTCATTCATAGGTAGCAACATCTTTAGATAGAATTTTAGTCTTCATGAAGTTTGTTTTTGAGACAGATAAACTGGGAGGAGCTAAGGAGTTTCACTTTTTTCATGTAACAGAGGTGAAAGCAGACTATTCCCCTGACTCAGTTTCCTTGGTTGTTTTGGATGCCTTCTGTGCTCGGTTCCTTTTGAAAAGGAACTACTGCAGCTTGCCAAGTGATGGAGGGACAGTCTTCACCCACTTGCATTTTGATGCATTTTTCAACACGTGTAAAGTAGCAGCCAAACCCAACAAGACATTGTGTCATTTCAAATGCTAGGCAGTTTCATTTTCCTTGGAAGGATTATAATGTTATGTGTGGTTGTATATAATTTATCATTATCATCACTACTCTGAGAATGGGGTGACTTTGTTAAGCCTTACCAGGAATAGCAAAGTAGGAGGTATAATGAAATCCTTCCAGATCCACAGCCTTGTTTAAGCACATGTGGAGAAAGCTGTTATAGATTATTGTTATAATACAAGATCACTTGTATTACGGTTTAATATTATGGTTTAGTAGCATATTGTATGGGATCTTTGGTAATGGAAGCTGTAATTATTTTAAAAATTGTATTTCTGTATTAATATTTGAAGTGGCGGATTGAACTGGCTATTTTCCTGTTGCAGTCTCTGGTGCTCATTCTGGTTGTTTCTTCTGTTGCAACTTGTATCCTCTTCATTCCAAAGTAAAACCAATTCTGTAACAGAAATATCTACTGAGATTCTGAAGGATGGATGAAAGTATTCAGAAATGCTAAAAGTGAATAGCTTTGTTTTTCACCCTGCAACCCTGCTGCAGCTGTGCTGGTAATGCCGTGCTGCTGCACATACAGAAGACTGCATAGGATTACCTGATGCACAGGTTTAGGGAGAGAAGAACCTAACACAGCAGCCAGCTTTGGAGATCTGCTTTGTTTTCTGCAGGTCCGGATGAAAATTCTTGCTGGAGCTGCTTGTCCTGTGGAGAATTAGGACAGAAGCTGTCAGCATCAAATAGAAGCATTCAAAACTTTCAAGCCCTTAATAGAAAAACACCATAACGTTAGGGAAAAGTTGAGTGCTACTGGTGCTTCCTGCTAAGGAGGGCCAGAGACTATCAGTAGAGGCAGTTTAAGTTCTCTATAGAGTGCTTAAATACAGCTAGCCCTGTGGCACTCTATAAAAGCACCCTGCGATTCAGTGTGGTCCTGCTTGTCATTACTCTTCACTAATAGTCTTTCTGCTAATTTCAGTCCCTGCTACAGTAGTCCTACCAAAGCCAAAGCAAATTAATTTTCCATTATACTTAATATTGGTATTCTTAATCAGATGGCTTATTAAAGACCAGACTCTACCTAATTATTAAACTATTTTGTTTAGCATTACAAACTTTGCATTTGATAATCATAGAATCACCAAGGTTGGAAAAGACCTGTAAGATCATCCAATCCAACTGTCCACCTATCACCATTAAACAGTTCTTCCAGGAATTTGGACATTGCTTGACAGGTATTTAATTGTTACTAGACAAATGCTTTCCAGTAGGAAACTTGGATTCAGAACGAAACAATCACATATGTAGGAGCTTTGAACATAGACTTTGAGGACTTTCTCTGTCTTTTACCATGTTGAGTGCCAGCCCTTTAATACTCCGTGCAGTGAAATTCTCTTTTTATGTGTAATGTTTGTGTGTTGTTTTAGACTCCATGACAGAAAGATGTGTATAATAGGGCTGAGCATCCTAATGGAGTTACAGAACCGACCACCTGCAGTGGATGCTGTGGCTGCTCAGATTGTCCCTTCAATCCTCCTCCTCTTCTTGGGCTTGAAACAAGTTTGCGCCTCGCGAGAACTCACAGAACACGAGGATCATGCTAAAGATGATAAACACGTTGCAGAAGATAATGGTAAAATCTCCCCTTTTCACATTGTGGATTTTGTCTGGATTTAATTTAAAGGGGGTAAGAAATTGCAGTTCACTTCTAAGGCTCATTAGTCTGCTGAAAGTAAATAGGCCTATCGGGTGCTTGTAAGATCACCTTAGAAATGGACTTTTCCTCCCAAAATTTAATCAAAATGTTTCAACGTATCATAGGTAATACTTCGTGAGAGGATAGTATTGGTTCAGAAGTAACAACAAAACTTGCAAACCCAGTTTTCTGGGTTGTGAATGTATTCCATCTTCTCACATAGGGAGCAGGAAGTTTCCAGGGCTCCACTGGCTTTATTCTTGCTTCCTGGAAAGAAGCTGTTCCTCGTACCCAGCTATTTTAAAGACCTATTCTAGTGAACTTTGAAGGACATCCTTGCAAGTCTTTGTCCAAATGCAATATGGCACACAGTGATTTGCAAAGTAGAGGCAACAGACGTTCCTGGAGTAGAAAGACTTCTTATTGCTATGGCTGGCAGAAGGGAGAAAACATCCGAAGAGTACATTGCAGTGAGAGCTGGGGGAAGTGAATTTTGTGCAGTGCTGCGAGCAGATAGGTGTGGCCTTATTTGATTTGGAATTGGAGATTGCTTGAGGTCCGAAAATCGGAGTGGGTCTAAGTAGATAATATAATCCTTCAAAATTTCACATGATTATTCTGTAATGGAGTTACAGAATTCCTCGAGATGTGTAGGGGTACATAGAGTATAGAAGCAGCACAGAAATTTCCAAATCTCCACCCTGAGATTCAGTCACTCTGCTTGTTGTAGATACGGTCATTTTATACTTCTTATCCTGTTGACACAGGATAAAAACGTAGTTCCAAACCTTCGTGTTCCTGGGGGGGGGATTTTATTTTAACCTCAGTTATAAGTCAGAAGTATCTTTCCTTAAATAAGAAATAGCAAGGTGTGGAGTTGCATGTTGGAATGGAATATAATTCAGGATATAATAATTGTTCCATAAACAGCATGGGAGGTAGGGCTAAGCAAAAGGTGGAATTCTGGATAAAGATAGTGATGGGAGATTTTGTCAAAGATAAACTTACACCAGTTATTTTGGATTGCACAGTAACTGCACTAAAGCAGTGTCCACAAAAGAAGAACAAAGATGCCAGTTTCACATTCCCCAGGTCTTTTTAGAAACAAAAGTTTAACTAAAGATCTTGAACGTATAAAACATTTTAATAGCTTATTTTTCCACTTCTGAGATTTTGGGGGAAGGTGTTATTAGAGGATCTTCTTTCCAACCTGAAATGAGATTTTATTAATTGTTTTTCATTTGTAAGTCATTGTTTCCCAGTACTTTACATTGCTTTATAAAGCACATGAATGCTTTTGCAGAAGAGATACCAAGTGATGAGGAGGAGACAAATGAAGTGAGCCAGGCAATGCAAGAGAACCATGGTGGAGGTGGAGACGAACATGGAGAAGAAGAGGATGACGATGATGATGATGATGACTGGGATGAAGATGCCTTGGAAGAGACTGCTCTTGAAGGGTTCAGCACACCTCTTGACCTTGAAAATGGTGTTGATGAATACCAGTTTTTCACACAAGCACTTTTAGGTATGTGTGTGATAGTGGGTCGAATGATATGATATGATGAAACAGCTTGGCTGTCGTCATTGGCAAAAGCCCTTCTCTTTGTTTCTAGTAGTAATTTAGATTATTGAAACTGGAAATGCTTTTTAATGTTAGTCCTAAGATTTTTTTTTCACTTCCAGGAAGAACTTCAAAAAATAGGTGGCAGTAAATACAGCTAGAGATAAATTGTCTTCATGTAGTCTTTAAGAACTTTTCAACCACAGCCTAAATGAGTGAGACTCGGTCACTAGAGGCTCTCCAATATATACAAACGTTTGTCACTTTCTAGATATTAAAATGATAATGGAAAACTTATTTTCTTCCTTTTCTGTTTGTCTACTCTTGCTGTTTTTAGTTTTGATAAGAATCTTCAGTTAATAGATTTGCTTTGTCATTGTCCATGAATAATGGCCTCACTGTTAAATTGCTGTTTCAGAAAGAAGAGAATGTAATGAAGTTCCCCCCAGATGGCTTGTTTACAGTGGGGATTCTGTGCTGAGAAACTGACAGGAATACTGAATCTATTTTACAGTGCCAGTTCTGCTTGTTTTCCCACATGTTTCATCTTATTCTTCTGAAATTACCTTGCAGTGTAAGCTGATAATCACTTTCCATCCATTCCTGTTTTGACAGCGGTGCAGAGCCGAGATGCTGCCTGGTACCATTTGCTGACAGCACCACTGAGTGAGGATCAGAAGAAACAGCTGCAGGAAATTTATACATTAGCAGAGCACCGGCGAAATGCTGCAGGTAAGTCTCTTCTCTGGGGCCATTTCAAGTGTTGCAGGGATGGTGGAACTGCATCTAATGTATAACAACAGAATAAATCTCTGCCCATTATCAGAAGTCTTACAGAAGGCTTGAGAAGCATAAATAGGAAATTGTGCTTGTATTATCCTTTGGAAGTGTGTGCTATTCCGATTACCTTTGCTTGTAATTAATTGCCTTCTTATTGACATATGCTACTGTTAGAACAGGCTATCAACTTGTTTTGCACAACCTGACATTTGACATGAAAAACAAATTAAGGCACTAGCTCGCTGCCTGCCTGTCACTGGGTGAAGATGACTGTTGAACGTTGTGCTTAACAGCTCTGTTACTTTTGTACTGCTACTGTTGCAGTCAATGTGCTGCTCTGGGTGTTTAGAGCAATTGCATCATAGGAAAATAAACTGATATTAAATCAAGACACATGCAGAATAGTATGAGATACAGTTGTTCTGTAGAGGACAAGTTTCTCCATTCTGTTGAAGAGGTGTGTGTTTATACATTTATAGAAAAGCCAGGTATGGTATAATTTATTACAGTCACTGCAGTTTGGAAACAAAAATTTTTTACACAATTTCGTATTCTAAGATGAATAGTGTTATCTCTGGCAAAAGTGTTCTCTACAGGCTATTGCTCACATCCTTTCTCTTTGAATTCTAGAGACTAAGACAATAGAACAGCAAAGTGGCTACACATTTGACAACAAAGGACTGGTCATAGCATTTAACTTTGCTGGAAGTACTCCCGGTGGAAACTGAAGGATCAACTACGAAGGTCAATGAGAAGGGTTTCATCATTACATTTTTCTTAAACTCATCATGACTTCTGAGTGATAGGGGAGGGTAATTTAATGCTGCCGAAGGTTTTCTGAAATATAGCAGTGTGCTTCCCCCACCAGAATGCTTTTTCTAACCGGCTACTGTAATTTACAAATTCTTGTGGTGTTTTTATAATTTGAAGGACTGAAAAGGAAACATTTGTCCTCAAGGAACCTGAATGACTGGGAGGGGCCAGGCTGCATCTAATTGAGTTGCACTTCTCAGGTTTTTTGCTGTGCAGAATTGATAGATTCATATGGATAACAGTGCCTTCTGTTGTACATGGATTGCCTGAACAAATGGATTTTTGGAGTGCATTATAATTTTTTAAGTGTAAGAACATTTCTCGATAACACTGTAAGCCTTGGTTCCATGTTTTGCTGTCATCTGCTTTTTACTACACCATTTAACTGTTTGTTGGTTGTATACCTGTTGCTGAATTCAGAATACGATCTCTTCCCAGTTTGGTGCAGGCCAGATGTGAATAGGGAAGTGTCTGCTGGAGTTGGAGAGCATACACTGGTTGTGTCAGAGTGTCTTAACAAAATTGCAGATTTTCCCTTGATGTAGTAGTCTTAAATTATTTCTCTTAGCTATGGAATCAACTCACTTGAGTTACGATGGCACGTGTGGCAGTTGGCTATTCTAAATCTACACTGACGTTACCTCCTGCCTGCACGAGTGGCATGGCCCTCTCATGTAGATGTGCTACATGACAACTTTTTATTTCCACTCTTTCTGTTGGGTTCCTATAACCTGATTTTCTGTTTTTATTCATTCATTACCATTCCAATGGTAGTACGGAATGCATAATGTGGTACAAAATATTTACAATATTTTATTTATCTTGATAGAAGAAAAACAGTTGTGGACTTGCTTTTTACTGTTACACTTCTGTGATAGAATTTCTGGTCTGCATTCCATTTGGCTGTTCTTTTTCAATGCTGAAATTTTGTTATCAGCCAGATTATTTTTTTTCCTGAGTTTCAAAGGCCGGTTTCTCATAAATTGAAACATATGTAATAGGTTTTTTCTTTTTTGTGAATATGTTAATTTAGTGAGAAACTTAGCATTGTGAGAAACTGACAGCAATACTAGGTTGAGTGGGTACCCCTTCTCTAGCTCTATTGGGGTCTCAGTGATGTAGCCAAAATAAGTTGGGGTGCTTTAGAATGTGCAGTTTGAATTGAAGATAAAACGTTCAGTGCAGATTTTGTCTCTGTGTTAATTTCTATAAGACTTAAACATATTTACAGAGCAATTTTAAGCACACACTTACGATGTAATTCTTTAGAGCATTGACCCAACTGGAAAGCTGTAGCCCTTTCCCATACACTATCAGATTTTTAAAGCTTATAGATCATTACAGATTGCTGGCCCTGCAGTGTGCTGAATCTTTTTTATTTTTTTTTCAATGTTGAAGTAATTCTAGTTCAGTCTAATAGATCTGAAGCTCTCTGTGCCTTGGCATCAGGAAAAGGCCATAGTGATGCTGCTTTTTCCTTGCCCCTTACTCTGGAATCTTCTCAGTCTTGAATTCATGGCGTAGAAGGTTTCACTCTGTTTTCTTTGCTCCTCCACTTTGGTGTGAGACTTAATTCTGGTACTGTTCTCTGATGCTGCTTTTTTTTTCCACAGCAGCTGCAGAGTAAAAGCATTTCATGTAGGCTTTTCACTGCTATTATTCACTTAATAGCAACAACGAAAATTTCCTACTTTTAGGTCTGTTGTACGTATGGAAAACAGTGAGAACTCCAGGGACTGCATTTTCAGAAATGAAAAATGCATTGAGCTGCATTGGACAGGCTCTTGAACAGCAGAGGGCAGGAAGGCCAGGAAAATCATGGGTCACTTTTGCTGATACAGGCCTGGAGGTATATTTACTAAATGACAGGATGGTGTTGCATCCACTTTGTTGGTGAGTTTCTCAGAAACTGTGGAAGTTGTTAAATCTTCACAATTTTAAGAAACGTTTTTTGGAAGTTGAGGATATGAACAACGTCTCTCCTATCTGATAACTGAAGTTAAGTATTAGGTAGGTAAACTGTTTGAGGCCTTTTATTATTTTATTTAAAGAGATTGTTGAACAGAATTTCTTTCAAAACCCGATTCCCTCTTCTACGCTGGCATGCAGAGTAGAAGGGGGATTTATTTTTCTTCTGCTGATAAGGTTACTTGCACAATCACAAGTTAATAGTTAGAAGTTAATGTATTCAAGGAAAAATCTGCTTTTGCATAGCATCATCTCTGTGTCGCTCAGCTGTACTGTGGCAGCTCCCTGGTTCTGCTTCTTGTATTCTTTTCAAGTCAACTGCCAGGAAAATTTCAGCCAGATGTTTCTTATAAGGGGTTTAATCAGCTGCATGGAGTCGGGAATTTTTGTTGTCCATTTCGCAGTGGGGGTCAGAGATATCTGAGGGGAAGGCATGTAAAAAGGTTGAATGCCCTTCCCTTCCCAGGAGATTCACAAGCAAATGTTTCTACTGGCAAAAGCAAACGTCAGTTATTTCATTTCTTTTCTTGAAAAAGGATTTCACCCAAAAAGATTTACTGGGCTCTAGCCTCCACTTTAACATATGGTTCTCTTTTAACATGATAAATATCCGTTTATACATGATCATAAGTAGGTAGTGGATTTTAGGGATTTCTTTCTGAGTTGTGTCCAGCTTTGTACTGCATTAAAAAGAGAGTGACACAAATGTGCGTTACTGTCTGACTTTCAAGGCAAGATAATCATGGGACATCACATACCAGCGTTGGTCAGCCAAGCATGATGGACACTGGAAGCATAGAGAATCGTGAACATATTGTAAAATAAATTAAAAAAGAAAAAAAAGACTGCTGAGAACTGACCAGTGCTGCTCCGTACCCATGTTCCAAAAGTGTGAAGGTGACTTGTGGACATCGTGAGGGCTTTACATATGAAATTAGCATTGTGTTGGTTATAATCACATCAAATGTTAATCTAAATAATAACTTTCTTTTCCAGATTAAATTAACCCATCCTGGGTATTGAGTTGCTTACTCTGTTTTGTCACTCTTGAGAGGAAAATAAGAATCACCACGTGTTTGAGCTGCCTCTTTTTGCTCTCCTTCTTTCAAAGTCAAAGTATTTGATTTACCTTCATACAGCAGCAAAATCTTTCAACAAAATGGCCAGCTCCAGGTAGAGAGCAGAATATCAAGCTAAAAACAAGTCTTAAAAAACATAAAAACAACCTTCCTTATGCACACAATCAGATTGAAGTAGATGTTCTTTTTAACACAAGTCAAAATTTATAAAGAATGTTACACAAAATGATATTTTGACATTCTTGGTTTTGGAGGGAGAAGTTGTTGGCATGAGACATGAAATGAACTACTTTAAGACATGCCATTTGCCTATGAAGTCCAGGCAGTTTGTGGTTCTGGATTCCATCATACACTGTAGAAGACAGAAGGTAGGACTGTAAAGAATTTTATTGTATTATCTTTTTTTTGTTCCTTTTACTACAGAGCAAGTGTCTGTATTGAGACTTGTGGGCCAAAGGAATTGTAGACAACATGAATGATTAACTATCTTTTGTTTCCAGAATACTTTTCAGCCTTTTTTCTTTCCTTGTTTCCTTCCCTTTGCCAACCATTGTTAGCAGATATTTCAGGGGATATACAAAATATTTGAAAAAAATTAAACTTCTGCAAAATGTGTTAAATCCCATTGCTCCTGAAACAATGGAACCTATCTCTATTTCTATCTCTAGAATATTTCTGTCTCTTGAACAACGTCTCTTAATTAACATATGCAGGTGATACAGAACTCCAAAAGCCCTCACTTTTCTCTGCAGTTTGAGAGGAGCCTTTCTGTGATTTACTACTTAAAATGGGATTACAAAATGGTATTTTGAAATCCCCACACCTTGCACTTACATTTGCTCAAATGATAGCCAAAAACATACCATGTAATTGGGATACTCAGCTCTAGTTCTGGTTTATGCAGCAGTCAATCTTTCAGTAATTAGACAGTCTAATGTTGAGTTCCTCAAGGATCTCTGCCTATAAATGAGAACATAAAACAAGTCCGAGAGCTTCTTTATCTTTGCAGCTGCATATGGAATCACATTTCCCTCATTGCAGCAAAGCATAGAGCAGGTATTGGTACCAAGGTCTTGGTAGTGTGAATGAAAACAACACCCTCTTCTCTCACCTGTCAAGTCTAAACCCAAACAGCTGGGAAACAAAGGATGTTTCTTTTTTTTTTTCTTTACAGTGGATGTTCTGATGTGTTAGAAGAAGCTAAACACTATGCCAGGTACCAGAAAGTCTTTGCACAAAATCATATCATAAAAAAAGATGTATGAACAGGCCAAGCTGCTTGCTTTTGACATCTCTTCCATTGCTATTACTTATGTAAAGTGCAAACCACCCACCCCATAAAACAAAAATCCGCTGACAAATAAAATCACAATGTAAAAATGATGGAGAAGTAAAGAAGCGCTTGTGCACTAGGTGGATAGAGACTTCCCTGGCGTGCAGATCTAATCACAATGCTTAATTTAAATGCACTGAATTACTTTTAAAATAGAAAATGCAACATCTGTCCAGATGTCAGCAACATGAATCTGACAGCCATTACTACAAGGGAAAGGCTTTGTGGGGTTTTCTGCAGCAGAGAACAAATGTATCCCTTTAAAAAGTCTGAGAACCTCTTGCTGTGGCTGATGTGCTGTCACCAGTAGGAGACACTCCGTGGGTTTACAGCATTTCTTAAAAAATGTCAGCATACATCCTATCAAATTGCTACCTGAGGTGCTCTCTGTCAAGGGAGCTAACTGGTCGACTACTCCCTGAATATTGAGCTTTGTGGCTTCAGAGAGAATCTGCAGCCATATGCAATTATGATGAATTAGGAATCGGGAAGGCATCCATTTAAAGTAAGGCAACATGTTTGATCCTGCACTGTTCCAAATGTCACCTGGATCTTCTAGAGAAGAGTTCAAGAAATGTGTTCCATGCCTTCGTTCAGAAAAAGAATGCACTTGACTCCTTGGGCAGCCTCACATAGCTGCAGTGCTCAGTTCGGAAAGCAGGTTTGATTACAAATTGATAGATGCTCATTAGAAAAAAAAAAAATAGTGGGGGAGGTGGGTGTTAATGCTGCAGTCTCTTCATAAGCTGTAGAGAGGTTCAAAATCTTCAGTGTTTGGCTACTGCATAGTGGAGTGGGACGTGCATGTGCAGATTGATTTCTCCAGTGTAATGGAACCATGCTGGTTCTAGTGTTCAACTGAGGTGAAGGGAGAGGGTTGGTCGGATTCTGCCTACTGGCCCATCCTGGATTATGTTATAATGAAGTGAAATGCAAAATCTGAAAATTGATTTGCTAATTGAAGCTGCTGAGCAACAAAAATGAGTATTTTCTTGAAACTGGGTTTTGATATTTTTGTCTGGTTGTTTTAATTTTTAATCTTTTTTGTCCTCAAAATGCAGAATAACTACATGATGGGTAGGCCTATGAATTTTTCACAAGGCTGTTTACCATTGAAGATGTTTACCCAGGAATTGTGCCTCATTTTCAGATGTTTTCAACACGATTGTGTTAGTAAAGTTGCATGTGTCCCTTTTTCACTGCTTTTTACACACAGAGATTGTAGAAATGGACCTAAGAGGAAGATGGATGGTGCTTCGAATGGAGAAGACTGTGTACAAACAGATTATTTTTAGAAAACAGAACAATAGCCTCTGAAGAAATAGGAAGCAATAAATATTTACACAAAAGCATATGAGGTAAATAAATGGATAAAGAACAGTGTAAGCTAGGTTCTGTTCTTTGGGTTGTATGTGCTGTTGGTAATGCACTTAGCATAAACCACCTGGGATATTTTTGGTTCAAAAAGAGACCAACCAGATTTCTTTTGATTATTAAAAGCAAAGGTAACAGCCCATGCTTGTAAGGACGAGAGGGAGATCACTGTGTTACACAGTCAGGTTGGACTGCAGGATCATTGCCTTTGTAGAAGCCTCAGATAGTGAACTGTGGGTTGGCTTTGAGGGCAAGAATTGACAAATGCAAAACATGCATCGATGACAAGAAGAATCTCTTCCTAACTTAAAGAATTGTGTACAGCGTTCTCTTAAGCTGCACTGAATTTGCTTTAAAAATAGTAATAAATCTTACTGTTCAGGTCAAATGTTACATCTGTTGTGCATTTATATGAGAGGAATAGTATTTCTTGAAGAAATGTAACATGCCACCTACCAAGGAGCGCAATCTTATTTTATAGCCTCTCTTCATACAGCTATAAAACTTATTTACAAGTGGACCCCAGAATTAATTTTAAACAATAGCGTGTGTTGCCCAGAGTTATTAAGTGCATTTGTGTAGCAGTGTTTGTTAACCTCATGTTTTCTCAGGCTACTATTCACTTGTATGGTTTGTCTGTAAAAGAATATAACTGATATTTGATGTAGATGAGATCATGACAGATCATCCAAATACAATTCTGAAATTGTCAAATTAGTGAAGGTAGTGATCTTGTATTCCTTTGAGAGGGGATTGCACCAAAGCTTAGACCAGTCTTGTGGCATGGAATTTGTGAAGAGGATGTTATGTCCACGCCCCCATAGAAGAAAAGATCAATCCTGCTGAAGTCCTGAGCCTGGTATTTTTTTCTGTGGAGTATTTCCCTCATGGTGAGTTGCTGAAGGAGCTATTTGCTAGATTGCTATGTTTGATAATGCCTTTTTCTGTACAGGGCACTTTTGAGAATCCTTCACAGTATCTCTAAGAGCAGTGGCAAGTAGTATGTATTTATAACCAGGAGGCTGAGATAGTGTCGTTTGCCCAAAGCCATAGCAGTGTGTTGCAGCTGGCATGTGAGATTAAAATTCTGGTTTCATAAAAGTACCTGGGAGCTTTGCCATTGGCTCTCATCAAATCAGGATTTCACCCAAGAAACTCACTAGGTTCTAGTGTTTGGTTCAGTGTTAATTCCTTCCAGAGAAGCTCTGCCAGAACACAGATAATTTATGAAATTGCTTATTAACAGCAAGCTCCTCTATGGAGCTGCAATTTTAATCTATCTAGCAGTGACGTTGCTCAATTGTATCCTGTGTGGGTTGCTTGATGTGATGAGGAAAATGGTTCTCAGCTGTGGCATGAATGACATGCCAGCTGTCAGCTACTCCTGAGGCCTTGAAGTGAAACTAAACATATGGGAGCAGAACATCACCACGCATCAGGGTGCTGTGAAGCCCATGGCCTCTCTGCAGGTATTAATAAACATGTTGGATCCATTGCAAAGGTGTAAGTTGCTGCCACTTTTAACAGGCTCTAAAGAGTGTATTTTTTACTGAAGTAAATACGTAGTTCTCATGCCTCTTTCTGCCCCCTGACAGAACGTTGATCTTTAGCCAAAGTTGTATTCGTAAGCTGAATTCTAACTCAAAATCCCTTAAGATAGTAATTTCTTTTAGTCAGTCCCCAGTAAGGGTGAAAGATGATCAGTGTTTGCTTTCTCTTGGTATCAGGTATGTTAAATGCTTAAATGAAATAATTTAATTACCTACTGGATAAAATCACTGGGACTTCAGTCATTCCCATGCAGTTTCCTATGGAATTTGTTTTTTCTGGCAGAGTTCAAGCTAAATGGAAATGTGTGTGTGTGTACGTCAGAAAAACTCTCCTTAGTCATACAAGTGAAATTCAGAATTAAAAAAATATATGTATACGTTGTCTGAAAAGGCCATCTCAGAGTATGAATGTCTGTTTTCTCTGTTATTAAAGCTACTGGCCCTTTTATTTCTCAGCACCTTGTAGAACACAGTGTGCAACAGCAACAAATAGGGGTCTTGTGGCTCCATTCGATATAAATTACCCACACAGTCATTTCCAGCAGGACACTCCTTGCACCTGACTCTGCTTCAAGAGATTAGGCAAGGTGCAGTAGTGAAGACAAATGGCTGTACTGTTATGTAGGCATTTGACCACAGCTGTAGAGCTGACATCTGCACCTCAGTAGTGGTTGTGGCTACCTTCTGGAAGAGCTCTGTGAGTATCAAGAAGGCAAACCCCGCCTCACGTTTTCCTCCTGCCAT